GCATAAACTGTACTGTATCTGGCACTTTGGTACTACTGATGCTCCCATTTGTTTAGTTGAATTTATAACATAAAATTGTATTTTTTGCATCAACAAGATGATTCCCAAAGAGCTCTTAGCCAAAACCAGACTGAAAATCAGTGGCAACAGCTGTGAAGAATCTTGACATTTTTGTTCAAATAATCTTCAATATAGGTCAGAAGAAAGGTACAGCCATGAGTCTGCAACCATCTGTAAAATAAGGTGGGGTCTCTGTCATGGTTTGGGGCTGCATTTTGGCCACTGATGTTGGGGATCTTATCAAAATTTTGCTTCCAGAGAGCCATTTAGAAGTGCACCATCAGATTTTCAGCCACGGTGCAATACCATCTGGATAGCATCTGATTAGCAGCAGCTTCATTTTTTAAACACACTGCCAATGCAGTAAAATTATACCTGGATAGAAAAACATACAGTGGAACACAAACAGTCATGGATTGGCCTCCCCAGAGCCTGGACCTCAACATTATTGAAACAGTGTGGGATCATCTTGACGGAGAATCAAACAAAGGCAGCCAACATCCAAAGACGAGCTATGAATGTCCTCCAAGAAGCCTGGAGAACTATTCCTGAAGACTATTTAAGGAAATTACAAGAAAGCTTGTCTAAAAGAGTTAATAAGAATAAAGGTGGTCAGACCTGACCTTCAAAATTGTTAGACTTATACAAACAGGATGTCAAACCGTTTTTACATCATGGACAACATAAGCAATTTTTTTAACATTGTAAAGAAATTCTGCTGTAGTAGAAACTCATCAGCACATCACTGGGCTTGGAAAAATAAAGAAATAAAGGACGTAAACTTGCACAGAATCATCTGTGAAGTCACCAAAAGCATCCAGTTTTTGCTGTATAACAAATTGAAAATTATATTGTAAATAGCAAAAAAAGAAACTTTTATTTATATTAATTTGACTAATGTTTAAAATGTTGTTTTAAATGTTTAAACGTTAATGTTTTTGTAGGCCATGGCTTATCAGTAGGAAGACTGGAATGATTCTTTTATTGCTTTTTTGAAATTTCCAAGCCCGACTGGACCCTGTGAAGGCCGTATGTTTAGACCCCTGATGTAGTTTAATCTTGGAGAACTTAGTGGTTATTATTGTGAAATTTAAAAAAGAAAAGAAAAAAGGTTTTAAGGGGGGCTTATTTAATAGTTGCAGCTAATCAGGTGGTGAGATTGTGAATATATGTTGCTTTACTCCGTTTTACGTTACTATAAATATAAAGTATTAAGGTTTTCAACTGTTGTCTGGACACAATGAAGGATTTATGAAATGATTGTATCTACTGACATCCAGAATTAATCAAAAAGACAGTAGCTGCAGTGGTCTTTGATTGTATTTTGTATGGGTACAGGTTTTTAAAATATTGACTAAAACACTAATTTAATACAAATTTTTAAAACCTCAGTGGAGAAACCCTGTCTCTTTTGGACAGTGTGTTACAGTATATTCACTTTTCTTTCCTTTTTTTGTATACTTTCTTAATAATTTGTGCAATTTACCACTGCAGGCATTGAACTGGGTATTTGTAGTAGACACCATGAACTTTTCCTTTTGGCCAGAAGAAGAAACCCAGCAGTGTGAGGTGACTTATAAAGGCACCACACACACAGGCTACATGACCCTGTGTGCTGCCATCACCAGAGCCATGGAAGAAGGTAAGAGTACATACCTGTACATCCACTTAGTTACTATATTACACAGACTTATAGAAAATAGCAGTAGTCAACTCACAGCACTTTCTACTTTAAGGTAAAGACTCTTCAGCATTATACATAGAAAGCCAGAAATATAATAATCCTTGATGAGCATAAACATGAAGGATGGAAATGTCAGATTTATAAATTGTTTGCCACTGTGACTGTTTGCAGCAAAGTTACAACCATGCTCTTACCTTTA